TTGTAAGTGGTTATAATTTTATTTATTTTATTAGATATTATTTTGTTTCATATAGAATAGCAGTTCTTCACAATAATTCAACAGTTTCCTCATTTCAATTCAGATTACAGTTACATTCATGTATTGTAGATTACAAATCTTTTTGATCTTCTGATTTCGCATGACTATATCCATCAAAATAGTCTCAGCCATAAGCAATGATCTTTCTTAACATGTTTCTTTAACACTCTCATCACTTCCAATTAAATCGACAATTTCACATAAAACACTATTGCACATTCTTAAACTTACGAAGATTAGAATTTGCACGTTTAGTTTTAATTTAATTTTAAGATAATTCTCCCAAAGGAACTTTTTTATACAACGCCTAAATAAAGATATTTTTAGCTGATACATAATACAAAATGAACATGTTACATTAATATAAAAATAATCAGTTATATTACTATTTTCGTATCTAGCACATTTATTTCTATACAGACTGCATGAAAGAGTTCTCCGACAATACCATTGCCAGGTGATCAATTTTACAATAGGAATCCCAGCCGTCGAAGCGTTAATATTTATTCCATTACGTACCCGACAACTTCAGGAACGTTTCTGCTGATCGATTGACGGAATCGTCTCCCGGGATCTAATTTTCTTCGCGGGTCGATCTATTCCAGTCTCTATCGAACGATGCACCAATATACCTGCCCCGTAATCCTAAAGGACGTTCCAGGGACCTTATCGAGCGTTCTTTCCGATTTCCCAATCGCGATCTCAATTTTTAGCGGACGCTTTGTCTTCGATCCTCGTCACACGAGAAAGCTTCATGCATAAATGATATGGCAACTATTCCAAATCACAGCTCCACCTAAACTATACTAACGTGAATATTAAATTGCAAGAATAACTCTCAAAACATGCATAATTTGTCATCGCTCATGTTCATGTCTTCTATCTTTATACAAGTTAACAGTGTAACGAAAGTATTGAAATATGAATTACTAAATCAATTTCTATAATTATTCATAAAATTAATAAATTCGATAAATATGTTCTTGAACATGATACAATTATTAATAATATTATTAATAACACAAATGTAACCAGAACCCAATTTGAAACACTCAAATCTCCATATTTCCTTGTTCATAACCATTTCACTAAAACTTCCACTTAAATAATAATTAATATGTTCTGAGAAAACTGGTAAATAGACTACGGTTTTCTATACATTTCTGGAAAATTTGTAACTATGGAATTGCACGAAATGCAGTCGTTAGGAGAAAATATCTAAAATATCCAAAGTGTTTTATAATATTTGCCAAACAGTTGCCAAACACTTTTTGTCGTAATTCTATTCTTCTAATCATTTTCTGAGAAATTTGAATTTACATATACATCCGCAGTCTAGTGATAAGAGTTGCTAAAAGAATCTACAGGCGATTTAAAGGTAGAGTCATAATTCGAAACAATTATTAATATTTTTCGCAACTGAATGAGCGCGGAAGTGTCTAAAAGGGTCCGGTGAAATTCGTTTCTGGCATTTCGCTGTCGCTCGCCGTTATGACGATCGGGGACATCGACGTTTAACGGTGAATAAATCCGAACAAGCGCGGCATAAATTCGTCCCGCGGACTGCATTGTTCCGCGGCCGATCGTCGCGGGAATATCAATACCCGTAATTTCATGGAAATTATATTTTCAGCAATTCTCGCTGCGCCTGATTTCAAGAGGATATCAATGTGCAGTGGCATCCACAGCGTCACGCAAATCTAAATATCCGCGGCACAAACAAAATACCGAATGACGTGTCCGCTGATTGATTAAAAATTGTACATTTAATCCAGTATCGGGGGCACGAGCAGTATCCATTGCACTTCAGGTGAAATTGGCAACACGCGAAACATTCGATCACGAATTTGAATATTACATGACCGTATATTATATTATATGTCGAATATTAACCGTTCGAACACCTTCGATTTCAACCGTGTCATTTATTTATTAATAGATTATCACCTTTATTTTCCAAACAAATTAAATGTTAATTCGTTAGATAAATGACTATTTTGTAATTCGACGCGAGAGATGAAAATTGCTTTGCTATACGAGCTGCGATAGAAATGATTAATAATCTAATATACTACATTTTTTCTTTTTTTTTCTTCGTTTTGTTTTTTAGCTCAACTCGTATCTACTGCGAGATCAGTAGCAATGACGATGAGTCTTATATCTTGTTAAACATATTTATTTCTTTGAGATAGTTTATTGTGTTTCGCATGTGCTACTGGTCTGTTAAGGCTCATATACACCCTGAAACGTGTACAAACGATGGGAAAACCTTTTACACTTTCTATGTGGGTGCAACGTGTATGATAAAACTTTAGAAGACTTAAATCCAGCAGTTGTATCGATGCCTGCATCGCCGCAGGTTTTAACTTGTATGGGATTATGTTCACGCGTTATTCTGGTGTGACTAGTTCTCATCCTGAATAGCATTGCCTCTTCTTTTCTATTTAGATTTTTGCCTGGTACGTATTAATGGAAGTGCTTGAATACATTGGGGGTTTTTGTTCTTTTTGGTTATAGTCCATGTTAAGCTTACTAGTTTCAATTATTATATTTAAAATTATTTTTTGAGTTTAATTATTTTTGCTCGATTAACGAATTTCAGACAGATCATGAGAATTCTCATGTTTTCTATTTTAGAGGTTATGGCCAATCACGACAATTCATGACTTCTAATTGGACTTTTTCTGTAACTGTTCAAGAGAAACATACTTGGCCGCTGGATAAAGTTAACAATAAAACTACTAGTCTGCAATGCGTTAACTATACGACTTCTTCTGTAATGATTATAAAATTAATTTTGCGGTATATGCGTTTATTATTATTTGTTCGATTTATTATTTGTTTGATTATATTAAGTAATTTAACCCCTTACCCTATGATTTATTTCTTAACTATAATCGATACAATTACTTTATCGTTAATATTAATTTATTTCGAAAAATAAAAATCCTGATGCTTATTCTATGTCCACATTTACTCCAAATGTTAATTATTGATAATAGAAAATTATTATTTAGTTCATATTTAAAAAAAATAAATAACACTTAGGTTCCTCAATATTTTCGAAGAACCTATCAAATCTTTCCACTCTCAACATCTATAAATTACTCTATTCAAATTCACATCCATCTCCGGTGAAAGCGGAGATTTTAGCCACTACAAAATAAATGATAATCGTTTAATTACGTTTTTAACAGGTGTCATAATTCCCGGGAATACCGGGAAAATGTGTTCGAACAAGCCGCGAGATTCATTCCGCGCGATCGAAAGGAATCATAGATGCGGCGTAAAGTGAAAACGGTGCCGTAAACGAGAAACTGATGAGTCAGGCGATCGTCGTATCTCCCGGTCCGGCGAACCGGAAGTCTCGTGAATAATTCATAGCGCACGGACAAAGTAGAGAAAGCTTAGACACCCCGAAATCCCACCTACGAAATCGAGCTGGCTGGTCCTTTACACGCGTGCCAGGAATCATTTCCACAAGGGAACAGCGTTGCGAACATGGTGGCTGAAACCATATCGCGGTTGAACGGATCGTAGATTAGGAAAACTGACGCATCGATAATGTATCAATTCCCCACGTATTTTCCGCGATGCTCGCTGCACGAGCCCCCGGCTCGTAAATCATACAATTGTCCATTTTTTTGTCGTTCCCGAATACTCGATTAATACACCGCTGTATATACTCGACCATTGGCAATTAATGGACGAACGAGTAGCTTGTAACTGTTCGTTAATGCGAGTTGTTGGTGCTGTTGAATGCTACAGAATGAGATTACACAATATCCATATATCACTGGTCTGATCATGCAATTTATTTTATTGATACGCGATCGGAAACGTCGAATATGAATAAGGAAAGAGATTAATAGAAAAAGAAGATTAAAGTGGGTTTCTTTGTAGAAACGGTGTTTAATATTTATTGGAATATTCTTGATACGTTGTACTCAGTGTTTATATAAATAAAAAGAAGATTAGTTCTCGAATTCATGGTGAAACATTGGGTTTATGAAATTATTTTAAATTGAATAGTACCAATATAATTACTTATTAACTGATGATGAGGATATTACGGTATCTCTAAATATTTACAATTCTGAAATAGAAATTTATTTATTTAACATTACGAAAGTACTACAAACTATTTCCACAAATTTCTCATGAATATAGAAATAAATAAAAACAAATATTCAAATAGTAATTCACTACAAACGTATAGTTAATCTTTTCAATTCGACGATGTAATTCCTCTATCTACATTCTTTTATCACATCTCATAAAAAACAGTTCCACAGAAATCACCGGCAACACAATTACAGACAGTCTGACGGACGAATACCCATCAAAAGCATTACAAACAGTACGCTTTTCCGAAAAGCTGACTCCAAACGGGAAAAACGCGTAGTCAGAAGCTGCCAGACGACTTGTTTATTGGCGACAAAAAGGGGATGTCAAAAAGTTTTACGTCAATACCTCGTACACCCTCTCACCTAGCCTCTTTTTTCTCTCGGATTGACGTGTCTGGTGAAAGTTTACGAGTGGATTACGAGAGAGTAGCGTGAAAGGTCGAAAGCAGGATGAAGAGAGTGAAGAGTAGAAACGAAATCTTCCGTGAGAATTTCTGATGCAGCTTTCGCTGATACAGACGTGCCAGTCACAGCTCATCTAGAAATATGAACCCAGCGTGTCAAAGTCAGTCACCCTCGTATCTTTGTATCCACACCGTTCCTTGAGCTTCTTACGCTTGCCCTTTCTTCCCTCCGTTTCCAGCTCGAGCTCCACTCGCTGCTGATGCTACTCTCAGCACCGATGCGGCGGTTTAATGGCCAGGAAAAGTTGTCCCGAAGTTTCTCAAAAATGATGACACTTTCCTGAAGTGTCCGCAAACGAAGATACTTCGCTGCTTTCTGTGTTCAACGGCTACCTTTTTTCTGTTGCAGCCTGCAAGCAACTATCCAGATCGGTCCAAGGAATCTTCGGACCGTCCGACCCTCTTCTGGGTGCCCATATACAGAGCATATGCGAAGCTCTAGATGTCCCGCATCTAGAGGCTAGAGTCGACTTCGAACCGACGTTCAAGGAGTTTAGTATAAACCTCTATCCCTCGCAGGACCACTTGAACAAGGCTTTCAAGGACCTCATGTCATTTCTCAACTGGACCAGAGTTGCGATTATCTACGAGGAAGATTATGGTAAGCGGAGAAAACTTTTTGGTCACTTCGTCATATTTTGAATTTGAAATTTGTGTAAATTAATGATAATGGCAATGGTAAGAAGCTTAGATATAAGGAATGTGGGAAAAGGACATTTACTTAGTTAACTTGTTAACTGTGGAATTTAGTTTGAAAAACCTTTCGTTTTACGCGCAATAAAATAAAAAAATAAAGTGTGTTCTTGTCAGTCTCAAGATGAATGCACCCAGGGTATATCTTAATGAAAAACCAAAGCACAACAAAGAAGAATTACATGTTTATCTGAAAAAACTAAGAATTCATCGTTGAAAGAACTAGTAGAGTTTCAAGCTTTAAGATTACTTGTATACTCGTCAAACGCAGTTAACTGGTTTATATTGAAATATTAAGTGATGCAGATATAATATTGTAAGAATAAAATAAAATTGTCATATGGGCATTCTTGCAATTGCATGAAACAAGTTTGGGATGTTAGATCGAGTAGTAACAATACCAATTATAGTGTTGTTTGTAGGTATCACAATACATACAACTATTGTACTAGAAACGTACGAATCCTTATTATGTCAGAGCATTGAAATGAATGCAAAGTAGGTCTGTTTCCATTCATTCAAATCAGAGTGAAATGTTCTATGCAATAATAACAATGATACTACTGTTACAGTATATACATTAATAACTCCGTTAGTATATGTACATATGATAATAACAATCTTGCATAATGCAAAGTAAAGTATTATAATTCGACGTAAAGGAAGCGCAGTGAAACAAACTGTAACATGTGAATACGTATATTTTAAATTTCGAATTCAATTTCTTAATAAAAAAAAATTACTGTTACCAATAGCTTCAGTCATCATGACTATTAATACACATAACTAATTACTTAGATTACTTGTAATTTCCCAATCACAAGAAAAATAATAAAACAAAGTGTTATTTATCGAGTGAAAGGATCGACAAGCCGAAGTATATAAATATATTTCAACGCACAAGTGACACGGGTAAATACAATATATTGTTACTAACAAAGACGACGTAAATATAAGGCTTGCCGAATAACGAGTTCACCAAAGTTTCGGTATCAGATTTAGCCATAATGGCGACTTCGAGCTTTGATATCTTACATCGAAAATTTCAAATGAATAATTTAATTTTCCAACTAACGAGAGACTGACATGTAGTTTTCTTCTTTTAGTATTTAAGATTTCGATGCTTAATTCAGTTTTTTATGAAAAGAAATGTTGAAAGTATAAGACAGTTTCGTCCGCAAAGAGTTAGAATTTGGATGCTAAATGCCGAAGTTCCTTGCAATTCGACTTATATACTAAAACATGAAAGGGAAAGCGATGATCAATAACACTAAAACTACAAAATGGGTCAAATTCACTCATTCTTCATTAGCAATGGCTAAAAAGATAAAACCGAAGAAATTACGAAAGAAATTAATTCGCAAACTGAATCACAAATCAATCGAAATCTCAATGGATGATCTCTTCAAGCTCCTATAGAAGAATTTAAAAAGCCGATCTGAATATATCTAAAAACAATGAATCATTAGAGCAGCGCGGTGCGGTTGAAGATAACGAATGCTCATCCAACAAAAAAATTAAACTGTATCATTTAATACAAACATCATTTTCCCCATATTACTAATCCTTCCACTAAGGTAACCTGAAACTCACGCAACACGTTCACAACGGAATGCTACATTCTCCCATAATACCTACATCATTGGTGTAATCGCGATTTCCATGAATAATATTCCTGGCGCTGTAACCGGCCGCAACGACTATTCTTTACCCTGTTTTCCTTCATAAACGAAACATAAATTTACAAAATTACAGAGTTTAAGTTATATCTGGAGATCTCGAAACGGCGGAAAATAAAAAATTCATATAGGCGATGGCCAGCGTTCCACATCAAGCATAATCAAAAGTGTGGCAGTTGGAGCCACGGGGTAGTCGAAATTGCATTCCGCGTGTTCCGCGGGACAAAACCCACCGCGACAATGATAAACACGGCAGCGTCGAAACAATAAAACAGACTTGGTAGTCGCGCTTGGATTTGCAAGTATATGAGTAGCACTCTCCAAGGAATCACGGGACAACGTAGTCGGATGGTGTAACGTGTTATACGGACTAGTCATTACGGTTCTCTTTTTTTTTCCTGCGGCTCGCGAGGCGCGACAACGCACGGTGACGCGTCCCTATGCAAATAGAACGTCGGAATCAGCCGGCGGAAGTGGATGCCGACACAACGCGAAATGTCGGCCTGTCATACGCACGCGGACGCGACCGAACTGTTCCGCGGAAAATCGCGAAAGCCTTCGACACCGTCGCTTCGCGCTTTTTTCCCGATTCACGCGTTTTTGTCATTCGACTGCTGTTATCAGATTAGAACTTACCATCGTGAATTGGTAAGATAACGTTTTTTGATGTTCCGTGATTGAGTATGATTTTTGGCAACTTTCCTTCAGGCGTTTGAGTGGCACGGGTAAAAATCTGATCGAAAAGTGGCTACCGCCGAGATCGTGCTTCTTTCGTTTTAGCTCAGAAATTGAATTGGCCTTTTCTATTTTCATGTAAAAAAGTTGCAAATGATAGGATCGAGCCATTTTTCTAATTCTAAGTAGGTAATAAGAAAGATGTAGGATTCTTGGTTAATAAAATCCCCAAACCCTAATTCGTGGGGTTTGGTTTAATGGAAACAGTTTATTGGATTAACAATGGAAACTACACTAATAATGCTTTCACTAATAGTAGTTTTAATGGTAAAAAATATGTCTATCAACTTTTCCCGGTATTTTAAAATCCTCACTGTCTTCCTGCGGAACAAAAGCAAAATGGCATACCTTGTGTGCGATATTGTGAATGCTGAGTTGGATGTATAAAAGAATATTTTTATTCTTAAAAACAGCATAGATCAAATGTTACTAGAGATTACTGAAATGTATAAATTGTTCCATAATATCCCGAAAATGTTTCATATTCTTGTTTCATTAATTCTGAATAAAATAATTATCATGTTTTAATAACAGTGGTTTAAAGCTAATATGACATTAACTATTTTAAAAAGACTGTTGAAACGAACAAGAGTACGCTATAAATGTTATTTTGGAAATATTATTTACATTGAAAACAAGAAACGTAAGACCAGAATTGAAGCATTCACAACTAGAATCGAATTCGCTTTGAAACGTTTCACAGAGTTCCGGAAATATGTTTCAATAAGATATAATCAAATATCCATGTCTCGATCGAATCGGTAACCGCAGTACGGGGCGGCTTCGCCGGAGTGCAGCTTCGAGCCACTCATAGAAATTCTGTGGCAGCTCTTGTATTCCGTACGCTACCAATTCTATTACAGTTTCTATTCTTAGTTGGAGCCACGCGACAACCGAGACGGTCTTCCGGCAGGTCCGATTTTCCTGAAAAGAAACTCGCGGACATGCAATCGCATAGTAATAATTCTGGCCATGTTTTCACCTTGCGTCACCCAAGGAATTCGATCTTACAAACTCGCCCCTGATGCTAATTGGGATTCAGGGAAGCGTGGTGAGAAGTTTAACTCTCGAACTTGAAACTGGGAATTGTTATCCAAATATTCTAACAAAACACTGTGCAGTCTATTCTCTAATTAAGGTACGATGGAACCGCGTTTATTCAATGAATGCGACGTGATGCAATGGAATATTTTATTTTTTGTTTATATCAGCGGTTTTGTGTCTTTTAATAAAAATTAAAAAAAATATGAACGGTTACTGTTAAGTAACTAAATTTTCTTTAAGCAAGAAGCTTTCGATTAATATATTTTGAAAGTTTCTGTAACAGTATTAGACTGCGGAAATTTTTATTTAATAATTAATAAGATTGAGTATATAGAGTTATTCATTTTATATACCTTCTCAGTTATTAAAAGTCAGATTTATTTCTCTGGTATTTATTTAGTTATTAGAAAATAAAATTAGCAAGGATATTTAGAAAATATTTATTTTGCTTTCTAATATCTTTTATTGTTGAGTTCCTGCACAGTATTTTTTCACTGTTAAGAAAGTAAAGTGCATCCTGCTATAGTTTTTTAATTATTTCATATTTTCTTATGATATATTAGTTAGTAATACGCGTTTCTGAGTTAACAATATTAAAGTATCATGCCACGGTTTACACATAATAAATTATAAGCATTTTAAGAAATTTCGAAATTCCATTATTTTTTGAGTGATAATTGATGATTTAGTAGAAGTATAAATGCAACAAATTTTTATCAAGCTATTTAAAAAATTTCAGAATATTCAGAGACGTTTTCTATATTTTATTAACAATTCTGAGGCATCCGTCTCACAAACGATATATATGAATCGAATTAATTTCTTATTTCAACTGTTCTTCTTTATAAATTAGTCAACCGTCAACAGAGAAAGAAACCATTGTTCTTCGGAATTACTTTTCCTGACTAGACGTTATAATCATGACGGACATAGGAAAGGGAAGGGTTACTAGCAAAAGGAAGAGATGTGAACCTCGAGAAATATTCTCTCTTTCCGTTCCTTTGATCTTTATGACTGACATAAATTCCCTACTGCCGTAGGAGAATGACATCTTGAAATTCTTCCTTGTCAAAACGTGTCACCGAGCATGAAAATACGATAAATTCAATTTCGTGGAACTAACTGAATAAGAAAGTAAATTAAGAACAATATCTCCCCCAATGAAAAATCTCGACATCTTTTCATTTCCTGCCATAATGATATATCTTAATTTAACAGTGCCTTTCAATCGTCTATTAAATAAAAATTGTCTAAAATATTCCTATTGTATTCAAGTCTATAAATAATTAATTACAGCGTCTAATTGATACAGGTTGTAAACTGTGCAAACTTAAAAGTACCCTACTAATAATGTTTGTAACATATATAAGTGAAGCTTGGCAAAATAATTAAACGAAATACAATAATAAGACATAATTGAATTATTTAATATAATTTACTATTATATTCT